CAACTGATTGCATTTATAGGTGATATTTTTTTGGCAAATATTCTTAATCTCAAACAATTTTAAAAATCATGAAAATCTTATCGGCACATTTTATTCTTACAATTTCAAACTAATTGCTTCATTTTTTCGACCTTCCAATTTAATTCCCTTTCAATAAATCCAATTGGCGGAATTTTTTTGTTGTGAGATATTTTCTCTTTCCGTCATTCAGTGCAAAACACTGAATTTGATTAAAAATTTGATTAAATTAAGAATTTCGAACTTAAAGGAAAATATACTTCATGGAAAAAACTGCCATAAAATTTATTTATGGCTGCGTTAAGTATTTTTTCATATTTTGGCCACATTTTTTTTGACCAATGATTTTTTGATATTTTAAATTGCTTCTTTTTACATTTTTCACTATTCAAAAAAATAATAATAATAAAATAAAAATAATTTTCACTAAAATTTTGAATTCAAAAGTATCATTCAAATTTTAAAAATATTTGTTTCAGTATAGATCCATTCGATTATTTTATTAATTCTTTTGCAAAAGTTTAATATTGATAAATTCTATGGATTTTTTATTTTATTTTAATTACCCTCTTATATTTGAATTTAAATCTAATCTTTTATGCAATAAAGATCGAGAGCATTTCCGGAATTTAATTCTTTTGTTCATTACAACTCGCTCGGACTTCACTAGAACTTTGAAATACTTCAATAAATATGATAGTTAAATATAGCGACTATGCCAATAGAATTTATTGTAAAATATTCCAATTGAAAATTACCATAAAATGCTATCTTGATCATTCATAGCTACAATGAGAAATTTTATAAAATTTTTGATGTATAATCCGATTGAAAGTGAAATATTACTTTAGGAACGCTTTATTACCAGTTTACAACCAATCTTCCCAAGTCTGATGTGTGTGTTCATCAGTCGTCTGCTCTAAAATATTATTGCTGATATTATACTGATTCTGAATACTGCTTGTCACGCACTGATTGACTGCTGCAAATTACTTTAAAAATTGCAAATTTTCGTATACTTCCATGTTCTCTTTCGTTTTTTTTAGAGAGCATTTACCATTAGTGATAAGACTCGCTCCACTGGCTTGTCGCACTGAGTCTCTTGGCGATAGAAGTACAGGTGAATCGCCAGCATTACCCGAATATTTCCATGTATTACCAATTTTATATCTAAATTTTTCTAAAAATTTTGATTCCTTAGAAATTTTAAGAAAAAGATTTAAAGAAAACTTTAAAATTTGAAAAAATTGGTTATATATAATTTTTATTATTAATGAGAAAGATATTTTAAGACACCTTAAATTTTTCATTTTGTGCTTTATAAATAATTTAGTTTAAATCTTGAATTATTTTGCAGAGTAAGCTTGTAAAATGTCCTCAACAATTTATAATTTAGTTTTTTTTCGAATTAGATAAGTTTAAGCATATCTAATAGCATATCTGTGAAAGCATTTTACCAATTAAAATATAATTTATAAATATTAGATGAAGTGAATTTTATAGAATGAAAAGGGTAGTTAAAAACGAACGAATATAAATGCATAGGATAGGCGTGTCGGTACTCATAAAATTCTAAGATGGTCCTTGCATCAAAATTCGCTAATGTTTCATCGTTCGTACTCTTCCAGCTACTAATTGCGAGAACTTACTATTCCAAAAAGCTTATATATAGAAAAAATTTTAGAAAAAATTGCTACGAGTGAAGAGAGTGATTCGGAAAAAATGAACGATATCGAAAGGCGACCATCATCGGTACGTATGGGTCGTCGTTTTACGCTTAATCCATTAATATTTGCTAAGGAAGAACGCGATGCCAGACGACAGTCGTTGGCTCAACTTAAATTATCGTACTATCCCAAGAATGCCCATCGTAGGTGTTTTTTCGTTCTCAAAAATTTTAACGAATCTTTTTTTTGTTTTTCATTATATTCGCTCGTAAATCTGGAATTAAATAATATAATGATGTTTTCTTTTTAATTTCATATTTTATTCAATAAGTCTCTTGAAAAATCTTCTCGAATGTTGAACTTTCGGAAAGGCCGAGATTGTGAAGAATTTAGAACAACTAATCGAAATAGTGGCTGTTGCCCCAATTCGCATTATCGAATATTATAGGTCCTGTCCTTTGATAGAAATAAAATATTGATCATGAGAGATTAAATCTATCCTCCTGGGGACCAACCTATAATTATATCCTCAAAAAATCCTCTAACTAAAGTTAATAGAACCATCTAAGAACCAGAATCAATATAATAAAGGAAGCTCTAAAATACATTTTTAAATGACTGAAAATTTTCCAAGAAATATGAATGCTTTGAGAATATTCATTAATTATAAAAAAAACTGTGGGAATGGTACATAAAAAATTCTTATAGGAATCTACTTAATTATTTGCTTTTAGGGATTATTTCCAAGTCATTTACAATATATTTTGGCGCAATTATAAGAAATTAAGGCAATCTATGTTTTGATTTTGAAAAAAGCAAATTCTATAGAATAAGCGCTCTCAAAACTGCCTAAATTTTTTCATCACCCACAAATTTAATTTTTAAAAAGGTATTAGCCGAACCATGAAATAATCTTAGTTGAGTTATCTGCGAAAACTTTTGTTAACGCACTTTCGATTCTCAGAAATTGAAAAGAAAAAGCTACGAAAAGCTTTATTTTTTTTAGTTCAGCTATTTGCTTACCTTGCATAAGTTCAAACTCTTTAGTTTTTTTTGTATTTGCTCCATTTTTCGAAATCGCATGAGACTGCTGAGATTATTTGTTTTTATGATTTGCCTAAATCTATGATTCACATAAATATTTTATATCATTGATGTATAATTAAAGAGAAAGCAATCCCTTATATTACTCGGCTGAATTATCTATTTTGCTGTCTATCAGTTGTATTTTCAAATTTTTCAGGGGATAAATTTTTTTTTTGATCCGATGAAAATAACAATAATTAACATTAATCGTCGCCTTCTTTAAAAATAATATTGGCCTGGCCTGGAATAAGAACTAAGCTTTTAAGATTTCTCCCAGCAAGTACAATTGCGTTTTGTTCATTTCGTAGAGAAATTATTTAAAAATTTATTTTAATGTTATTCTTTAACTATTTTAACTATAATTTTTTGACTATGAAGAATCTTAGTTGAGTTATCTGCGAAAACTTTTGTTAACGCACTTTCGATTCTCAGAAATTGAAAAGAAAAAGCTACGAAAAGCTTTATTTTTTTTAGTTCAGCTATTTGCTTACCTTGCATAAGTTCAAACTCTTTAGTTTTTTTTGTATTTGCTCCATTTTTCGAAATCGCATGAGACTGCTGAGATTATTTGTTTTTATGATTTGCCTAAATCTATGATTCACATAAATATTTTATATCATTGATGTATAATTAAAGAGAAAGCAATCCCTTATATTACTCGGCTGAATTATCTATTTTGCTGTCTATCAGTTGTATTTTCAAATTTTTCAGGGGATAAATTTTTTTTTTGATCCGATGAAAATAACAATAATTAACATTAATCGTCGCCTTCTTTAAAAATAATATTGGCCTGGCCTGGAATAAGAACTAAGCTTTTAAGATTTCTCCCAGCAAGTACAA